GCCGTCGAGTCGACGACGTTGGGGACGACGACGAGGTGACGGCGGTATCAGTGAAGTTGTCGCGCCGCGACAGTTTCGTGTTTCGTGAGGTTTCGTGGTGATCGACGGCCCGTGGGTGGTAGTTTTTAGTAGTGTCGGAGGTAGCGGTTTGGGAATCAAAGAGACTTGAATTAGCGTTACCGGGGTGGGGTGCTCGGTTACGAGGCCTACGCGGATCGCACGGGCCAAATCCGCAGTTCTCGCTGCACTGGCTCTCGCTCTCCATCGAGTACTCGTAGTACTCGAGGGTGTCGCTGATCGCTACGTTCCTCTTACTACCCTGCTGCTGTTGTTGACTCGGATGCTGCTGGGCTTGCTGATGACGTTGTTGCTGCTGCCTCTTCTCGAGTAGCTCGAGATCCCTAGGCTCCGGACAGCTGCTATTTCGTCTACGGTACCTATGTCTCGATTCTACCGAAGGTCTCCTCTCTTCGCTCTTTCGCGAGAACGAGCCAGACCTACCTAATTCGTACGACATCGCTAATTCTCGACACTCCGGACAACTAGTTTTTCGCCTACCGCGATACTGCGACGACGACCGCAGCGATCCCGACCTAGCCAGTTCGTATGGTTCCCGATAATCGCGAGTCTGAACGTTTTCGTAGTCGTATCTTGAGTCTACGTAACCATCGCGAACCTGTTCCCCGTCGTAGTAGCCCGATCTAATACCATCGCTAACCACCGTGCCCGTTACGTTCTTCTGACGGAAACAGTCCGCGCACACGACCGTCTCCATCGAACCGAAATCCTCGTCCGAATCCAGAATAAAGTTCGTACTTCTTTCTTCGTCTTTTCTTCGTGGAGGATCGTAGTATCGGAGCTCTCTAGCTTCGGGGCAGCTGCTGTTCCTTTTGCGACGATACAGACGTCTGGCTCTTTCCGCTCTGTCCGACGAGCTCAGTTCCTCGTCGGAACGTAATATCGGCGTAGATTCTGCTCGTTGCAGCATCATTCGCTTGCTATCGGATAAACTCGGTATGGTTAGCGTGCCCCTCGTGCTGGATATCGTATCTCGATACGGTAAGTTCTCGTAGACACCCGTACTAACTTCTCTGCTTCCCCTTCTACTTCTCCTCTTTCTCCTTCGTGGCAGCGTATTATCTTGATAAGCGTCGGCTCCAACACACTCTGGGCCGCTGTGCGCTTGATAATCGTACTCCTCCGCGGAACGATAGTCACGATAATCACCGATATAGTCAGCATCAACGTACTGCGACGATCTTTTCTTACGTCTACTACTTCGACTGCTGTCTTTTCTTCTATAGTAATCGTCCTCGTACATTTCTGCGTCGGTTCTCGGAATATTTTCATCCTCGTAATCGTACAACCGGTGACCGTATTCGTCGACGTTCCCTCTGTCGATAAACCCTTCGTCGTATTCGATATCCCAGTTGTAACCATCGTATCCGTTCTCCAGATACGATTCGCTGCTTTTCCTTCTTCTTCGAGAACGACCGCTAGTTCTCTGATTGTCGTAGTGTTCTAAATCCGAGGCAGCGTGCATCGAAGAACAAGTAATGTCCCTGTCCGGGCCGTACTTCTCCGCGGACGACAGCGCCTCGTCGATGCTGCAGTAAATGTGCTCGTTAGCCGGGTCGCAGATATCGCTGTCGAGATTCTTCGTTCGTTTCTTGGATATGTCTAGACCGAACGCGGAATCGTGCTCCTGGAACGTCGAGTCTCTGTATTTCCTTTTGGTGGGATCCTCACGGCCAAGGACGTTCCGCAGACCTATTTGATCGTCGCTGCTGAAGGAATTTTCCTCCGACAGATCGTACGAGTGGTAACCTTTACCGGCAAGGTCTATATCTATATTCTGTTTGTCGAAGCGCGGCATATAAATCTCCGTCTCGCCGCAACTAAATTCAGAATCGTATCCATAGAATGGTTTGTGATCCTGTTTCAGCATGTAGTCGTAATTCTTCTCTCGATTGAGCAGAATCTTAGGCATCTTGTCGTCGCTGTTCGAGTCGAAGTACGATTTACTCTGATCACCCAGAGCCGGTATCTTGTCGCCGTAACCGGCATCGTTAATAGCCATGTTCTTCTTCAATTTACGACGGGCGGTTCTCAGGCTGTCGTCGCTGAATATGTTGCTTGATATAGTGTCGTACTCGAAACTCTTGGCTCTACGCGAGAGCATGCCCGTGCCTAGTCCGAAACCGTAACGATCAGCGTAGGTATCGTGCAGCACGTCGTAGTCGAAGCTCCTAGCCTTCGAGAATAAAAACGATCTACGCGGCCGTAAGCTAACGTCTAGGTTCCTAATGCCGTGATCGTCCGTTAAGTCGTGCAAGCCTCTCGAGAATAAGTGGTGCCTAGATTTCGCGGTTCTGCCAGTACGATCTTGCCAGCTACGCGACCGTCTACGCATACCGGAGTCCACTTGATAGGGCGACGAGTATCTGTCGCGAAACTTCTCGATGAGGCGATCGTTGAAGTCGACCTGAAGGCAATCCTCCACGTATATCTCCGGTATACGATTCTTAGAGCTACCGGTTAGCTCCTCTGGCTTGAGCAAGTACCCCTCGGAGACGCTGTACTCGCTGGTCTCCGGGCTGTAATATCTCAGCATGTTCTCGTCGACGGTCTGCGACCTCGTGAACGGCGTACGCATCTTTCTGTACAACGAGCGCACCACTGCGGACTTGCTCCGTACGAGGGGATGCGGGGTGGGATTGTGCTTGCTGGGGTTGTTGCTCCTGGGCTTGGTGGGATTGTTGTTCGGACAGTGACATTCGCTGCAGGGTACCCTAAGTCTGTGCCTGCGCCTATTGCGCCTAGGGGGCAGGGGCATAGGGGATATGACACCGGGTATTAAAACGTTTTTAACTGTCGGTCTGCAAACAATGTTTTTCATATAGAGTTTTAGCGCTTCTGCGGTTACATTAACGATTTCTTTTTTGAGCCCATTCTTCATTTTTTTTTAATCAAAGAAAAAAAAGACTCTACTCGCACGTTCGCGATCGATCGAACGCGTTTCTCTTCTTCCTTCTTTTTCTTAAAATATCTGCTATCTTTTTGGTTCCGTTTTCGCCGGGGTTTTTTCCCAAAATGGTTTTATTTTTCTTTTCTTTTTTTATACACAACATAGCTTTTGTTGCAATGCGATAGGTACCGAAAGAGAGAATTTGAGCCGAGAATTTTGTTGCATTTGTCACTCGCCGAACAAATATATATAAATGCAGGTTGTCTGTAGGACGTGCGACGATTGATTAGTCTCTTCGTGATTATACACACAACATACATACATATATGTAATTGTGACGTGTTTCAACGTAGGTAGACCTAGCCGTTCGACCAACGCCACGCACTAATCCCTGCTTTATTAGAATGGGACAATATTAAATGGACATTGACACAGTGCATAGGAGGTGCAGTCTAGCCAACTAAAGTAGTAGAATTCCTCGAAGAGAGCGCGGCAGGATTTTTGGGAAACCTATCAAGCAGGCGGGGGGAAATGAGATAGTGCAACTACGGGGTGTCGTTTCATTCGGCAATGTCCATTTAATTCAGGGATTATCGTCGATGAGAAGGTAAGCCATCAAATGTTCCATTCTGTGCGCGGTGTACATGGTCTATCGACGAGCATAACGATAATTTACTTGGAGGAGAAAACGGGATTACGCTATTCTGAATGAATGGACTATGAGATGAGATTAGTAGGAAGGAAAAAGGGAGAAAGAAATACGAGAGCCGAAAGGGAAAAAACGAGAAAAGAGGGGAAAAATAGAGGGAAAGGAACGCGATTTACCCGAATGTCACGTAAAAATGGTACAGTGGATGGCTGTCTCCTCTAAAGGGATACTTTCTTCTCTATGGAACTTGTCTTGCTTTGTACACTGACTTTGAAATGCAAGGTCATCGACTCGAAAATTAAAATACAATAGACATTGAGCTATACTCACATTAGTCCTCTAGAGCCACGTGGTCGTTCCGATTGCGTACTGAAGGCACTGCTCGTCACGGAGGCTATACTCTCCATATCGGAGTCACCAAGATCACCAAGTACGTCTTTGTCAGGACTTAAATTTCCCCTTCGCGGTCTGTGCATTCGATAAGGGTGACTGTGCGGCAAAGATAACGGATCCTGATCTATCGAGAGCAGATCCGAATCCGACAGTCCGCTATAGTGTTTTTCCCAACCTGAAAAATCAACGTTATTCCCATTGGAAATACACGTACTTCGCCAGCTGTAAATTCTAAAATATATATCCAACAATCTACGACTCCTATACCGATCCTCTTCGCAGATAAATTCTAATATAATCGAAAATAAAAATAGTTGCTATCAAACTGTTTCAAAACTACGGTCAATTTTACACGTCAAACGTCCACTATCTAATAACATCCTATTACAAAGTTCATCCTGGCGTATTCACGCTAGCCAAAAATTACCGAAACAAGGTCAATTAGGAACGCGGATTTTCACGAGGTTTCATTACTGTTCTCGTATCACGAGGTATTCGAAAACTTTGAAATTAATAACCCGGCGAACAAAATGGGAAAAGTGAGCTCACCTCCCGTACCCGTACTCCTGTACGTGGTATGCACCTGCCTATTGCGGTGTCTCATAAATCTCGCCCGTTCCTCGGGATCCTGAACAGCCCTTTCCTTCAGAGCCGTCGGAATCAGAGGCAATTGTCTCTTCTTCGGACTTCCGGTGGGAGTGGCTGTCGCTGACCTCGAGCTGAATCTGGAATGCGTAAAGCGAAACGTTCTCGTTTTCTGTTCTATCACGGTTTCGTTTGTGGCTCGCGTCGATAACTCATACGACATACCTGGGTGGAACGTAGCCGTGCGAGTAAAGCATGGATCTATGTTCCGGCGGAGACAGAGAGCGATGACCGGTGGGACTTTGAGACCTTCCGCGATACCGAAGGCTCGGCGAGTCCATAGGTGCTGCACTATGCGACCTGTGGCCCATCATTCCTCGATGAATATCGTCCTGGGGATTACAGATATTTAACTACGCCGTCCAGGTGTTCCGCAGGCGAAAACGAATCGATAATGCCGCACGCGAACCACGAAAGTGTCGGATAGAATAGGTGTATTTAAGTCTATACGTACTACGATCAGTTACAAATTAATAATAGTAGCAAATTAGTAAGTTACAGGTCGTGGATTGTGCACTTTTTCTCTTACGATTTTATAATTGAACGATTTACAGAAATACGAACGTGGCTGCAATATTTAAATCGTGTCTGTTAGAAGGGAAAAACGGTTCCGTATATTGAAAAGTTAATTATGAATTTACAGCAAGTTTTAAAAAGTCACTTGATTTTGTTTGATTCTCGTTGTTGTTAGTTGCCGATTACTTGTCACGTTCTTCGCTCGCGGCTTCCGCTTATTATCACAGTTGTAAGATTCAGTGCGATTTTTCAGAAACGATGAGTGGTGAAATCTACATCCGACAATCTACAACGAGTACGTAAACTACGCGTTCGTCGAACGATCGTTAAATTCACAGAAAAAAAACGTCGAGGTATTCGGTGAAAATCGGTGGAAATGACGCAGCGGGACTCACCTTGCGATAGGTCTGGTAACCAGAAATAGACGCTGGCTGATCCCGTATCATGATGGCGGCCCGTTTACGCCCCTGCGGCGACATGTCCCTTCGACTTCGATGCTCCCCGTCGATGCACAGCTCCCTTTCCGGCGGGGGACTAGAATAGTGGCTGCTCCGGCATGCGTTCATTTTTTCGCCAATTAGTGATCGTCTTGTCACGCTTAGATTACGTTAAATTATGGACGTAGGGGAAAGGCGAGTGCTGTGATCTCGCGCTAGATTACAGAGTGCATGCGGCCAGGCTGGTTCTCATTGGCGATGCTTTATCAAATATGCATTCTCTACGCTGCGCGTTGCACCGTGCCGTGGTCTTTCTGCCGACCCCTGACACACGCACGAAACGAACTCGATTAAGCGGCAGACCAAAACACAGAATGCAAGGTTACTCTACTACGTGGCAGAAATAATAAATGGACACAAAAAGATTGTTTTCCCGATATCTCGTAGATTAAAATCTCGTGATCCATAGTTAAAATTCGTCAGGAGCTCGTTCCTTTTAAATATTTGCACGTCCTACGATGGTCTGTCAGATATGCGGACTATACGGACAGTCGCTCTAATTATTCAGCCTTGAAACAATCAGCGTTGCGTCTTTCGTCGTCGCGTCTGGCTAACTGGAGAACTAAGAGTTACGAATTTACGAACAACAAGCGTTACTTCGGAGGCTCGCGTTTCTCGATAAGTTTCATTGTTTTATCCGTTCACCAATGTATCACCGGAAAGGATTATTATACTTTCGAGTTAATATTCATTACCTCATTTTGCGGACGGAGAACTGGTCACAAACCGGTCGATCTACAAAGTGCAAATACACAACGTCGCGATCCACGCGCGAAAGCTAATCTCTTACGAGTTATTTGCCAATAAAAGCCGGACACAGATTGGACGGTTTTCTCCGTGGTGTCCTCGACGAAATGGAAGGACAGACTCGGTTGCCAAGAAGCTACTTGGTAAAGAAAGGCTGGCCTGGCTGCTGTAAACAATGGTTCCGCGACTGATCAACGGAGCCAAATGCGTACAAAACCGTAGCCGAGAGATTGATCGCGCGCGAATCGCTTCGAGAACGGTGCCACTGACAGTCATCGTCCCGGTTCCTGGCAACGGGCACACCAATAAGCATCGCGAAACGTCCCCGGCGAACTGGACGTTGCCCAACAAATATCCACTGACGCGACGTAAAGCTTGCCGGAGAGAGGACAAATAAAAAGAACAGGGGAATGGAGCCACCCCGGCCGATGCATCGCGTTGCACTAAGCGTTACTAAAAGCCATGTCCTTTCGCGCAATCTAAGTCTCGTAAAACGTGGGACAGATGCAAGAAGCGATGACACGATGACGCCTACGTGTGCCTACATGATCGGTGACCTGCTGAATCTCTGCGCGCAACTACTTGTTCTTGCGCTTTTCTTTCTTCTTAACTTTCATTTTTCATTCGTATATAGTCTAATCGTTTCGTGTGCTGTTCGACGAAAAACGAACCATACACACGGTTTCTCGTCGAGCGTATCTACAGCACGCCGATGTGTTAAATACCGACGTGCTAAACTCTTTCATTCCTTTCGTCTATCGAATAAAGTTCATTCGATCGGTGCACATGCGACTGAGAGAACGATCCGCGTGCAAACACAGGAACATCAAGTGGGTGGATGGAAGCAGCCTCCGGCGACTATTACCGAAAGTCGACCTGCGTCTGGTCTCTTGCATAGAAGCTCGACACGCGAAAGACCTCGAATATGTTTGGAAGATCAGTTATAGTCGTTTTAACGAGCGTATCCCCACGTGAATTTCCGCTAGGTTGATAGAGCTCGAATATTATTTCGGTACAACGTTGGACCTAACGAGAGACGTTTCAAGACAAAGAAATAAAGGCAGCTTATCACGGGAAAGACGAATTAGTACGATCGAGCGATTTCTCAGACGGACCCTCCTGTTGTCATTGATGCACACGGACACGTTCGAGTGACTTTACATCGTGAGTGCGTCCAGAGTGAACGGTTACCGGGAGGATTTCTAGATCTCCGTCGTTTCTCGTCGATAATGACGCGAAACTACGGCGTCATTAGTCGCCTCTTTCGAGAAAACGTGGAAATATACGTCTGACAAACGCCGCGATCTCTTTGACGTAGCACTCATCGTGCTACGTTGCTTTTGTTATTTCTTTACGTTGGTTTTCATCGATCTAGCTCGACAGCTAGAGTCGAGAAATCGCGTCAGTTTGCGTTCGTTGGTTTCTACATATGCGAATATCTTATATTCGATCACGTTCGTTAATAATTGATCTACACTCGGAACGCTATTTAACTTAGCGGTGAGGATGCAAGAACGTGTGTGACTGCGTGATTCGTGAGAGAGAGGAGGAAATATAAGTTTTAATGGCCGTACCGCTTATAATTTGACGGCATATTATGAAACCTAAAAAATAAACAACAGAACAGATAAATAACAAAGAAAATCAATAGACGGGATGGCTAGCGCCAACGCGAGAAATTACGGCTCGTTAGAATGTTTTGTTTCTCGTTAGAAGAATCATCGTTAACGCAATACTGGATACTATAGACGTTCCTCGATTATCGATTGAACAAGAAAAAAAAAGATAAAGAATATCTACACCGTGCCCTCGAAAACGGGCTGAAAGAACGTAGCGGTGAAAGAAAAGAGAGTAATCTGACTGTACGACACGTCGCGGCCGCCGACTCGACCGACGATGGATTTATTAATGTAACCAGTGAAACCCCTTCGGATAATCCTATTAGGTGATATTGAAGGTTATTAAATATCTGCACACCGTACGATCGGCTCCCTCGGATGTCGCCGGATGTATCAATTATTCGCCGCGCGCGTGTCTTTCTGCGGGCTCGCCTCGACCGTATCTCGCCGTATCATCGCCACTCAATGGGGATGAAACGGATAGGGAGAAGAAGAGGGGAGAAAAAATTGGTCAGCGACTCGCAGATTGAGGCCAGCGTGGATTAACGAAGCATGCACGCCGTTCCGATTCGTTTCTACAGATTCCTCGACGTAGCGACCTCGAGGTGGCCGCGGAAGCGACGTGCATGCTCGATGAAAAATTGAACAAACCGGCCGCGAAATTTTCGACGAGGAAGATCCGGCAACTTTTCCTTCGTGGGCTTTCGACGCTGTGTCGTGCAATTTTCAACGAGTCCCCGGCAAACTTACGGATATTATTATTCGAGCACCCTCGAATCGAAGAGGGTCGGACCAGATAAGACGATTGATTACAAACGAAAACGAACGAGCGTGCAGGCGGAGTTTCCTGCCGGCATGGCAATCGCATTACTCCTCTACGAGAACCAGAGAACGCTCTCGAGGGAACGTGGCTCGAGAATTCCAAGCATCATCCGTGGAATAAATTTACAAAGGTTCGACCAATTAGAACCGGGAATGGTAACCGAGAGACACAAACGGACGAGGGACAAAGCGGCAGCGAGTTGCGAGGCACAGAGATTCCTTCCTTCTTCGATATTTCCTCCTTGCAACGGCACGGACGAGTGGTAACCTCGTGGTTCTTCGATCTTCAACGGTTCTTTGAGCGGTCTTCGAATAAGGGCCACGAGTAATTCAAACAACGCTATACGATAATTAGCGCACACTCGATGTTGCTTTTACTTCCGCGTCACATGCATTTGTTACTTCGTCACCGTTACACACATCGAAACACTGAATTTCCTCGTAGAAGAAACAAACACTCGGATAAAAGGGTAGATGGTCCAGTCTTTACGGGTGTAAATCAGCAAATTCGAAGCTAGTCACGGATCCTGGCGAGTTTAAAAGGAAGTCGATTAACTCGTCAAAGGCCCTGACCTATACCCTCGCGAGTCACTGGATTCGAAAGATACCGGTGGCCACGAAATTCAGAGGAAATTGAACGAATTGCGGGCCGTGCCCTCTGTGCAAACGACAAAAAACTTTATTAAGCGTCTGGTTCAAAGTGGATTTGTTTAGGCACGCCGTTTACCACCGTCCGTAGCCGTGGGCTTCGTTTCGTATCCTCTTTGTTTTACCCTTTTTTCTCCTAGTTTGCTCACCCTTCCGTTTTTCACCCCCTGTCGGTTTCAACTCTGCCACTTTGTCGATAGTCCGTATTTCTTTCTTTTTTTCTCGTTTCCTCGGAGAAAAATAAAGAACCGAGATATTCGAGAGAAAGCACTTTGCACTCACAAATAACGATCGGACGTCATCGTTGGAATATTAATATGGATACGAGGTTCAGGGGCTGGCTTCCGCAGCCAGCGGTGGTTGCAGGCCAACTGGCATGTCAATTGGCTTGTTGCCCAGTTTTATAACTTGGCTCACGGCCTCTCTCCTCTCCCTTTCTCTAATTCTCTTTCTCGTTCCCACAACCCTCCCCCTCCCACCTACACCTTTATTCACACACCTCTCACCCCCGCCGCATTGTCTCTGTCTCTGTCTCTCTTTCGTCGTTGTGGTCGTCGCCTTTACGTCACGGCGACGCCGCCTTCCGCAAGCACAACAGATAAAAATGCTCCTCTTTCAATCATCCGGAGATTCACCTGGTGAGATCGGCCTCCGCCGACTTGAAGCATCTAAGTCGCGTAAACACCCTGCTCCTTTCAAGTTTCCGTTATTCACACCCTCTAACACGAGTATAGTTCACGCACAAGTTTTCCAAAAGTCGAACTATGGAGAAATTACAGAATTTGATTGGAATAACGAAGAATCGATATATCAATAATCGATGAAATATTTATCAGTGTGTAAACACGATATCGTCCGAAATAACAGGAATTGCGCACGATCGATCCTGGACCATCCCTTACGCACGCCTGACCCGTGTGTCTCCTCAATGAACCGGAAGAGGTGCAACCATGCAAGAAAGAGCAACGATGCATGGAAGGAACGTTCGAATTGCGGCTAATCTCGAGTAGCGGCGTCGGCTCGTCTTATTGACGATTAAGACCAAGTCGCACGCTACCGAGGGAATAACCATTATGCCGACAGTTACGGTGTCAGTTACGGGACCTGTAAACGAGATCTTAAGCCGGGAATAGGAACAGATTAGTAACGCGATTTCTGTTGGCCAAGGACATCGGCACGCTACTCCCGTTAAGTATCATTAATTCCTGATGAACTGCACTGGTTCAGCCACGTGGGACCTTGCACGACACAGCCCTCTCTCTCTCTCTCTCTCTCTCCGCTTCTCGACAAATTCTTCGTCGCCCGTTCAAGATGGTCCGTGGATCGATTAACGGGAACCGACGCGCATTAATCTCGTGGTCTCCTCTTCAGCTCGCGGCCAACGCGAGGCACACTATCGAACACGAGTTTGAAACCACCCCATGGATCGTTCACGTTTTCGTCGTCATTTCTTGCGTAGCTCGAACCATCTATATATTTTTCTTTCCTTTTCTTTCTTTAACGAAAGAAAGAAAATAACGTTGATATAGAAGTTAACATCTCGCTGTAAAAAGAATCGGCTCATTTTTACAATGTTTCATCTCAAATAAATACACTGGACTGACGAACCGAGGGTGCTACAAAAATAAAAAAAAGAGAAAACGATTACCAAAGCGCACTATGTGTCTACATGCAAATAAAAGAACAATATCTACGCGTAAATGCAACTAAACGCGTACTGTCTTTAGGGAAAACAAAAAGAAAGGAAAACGAGAAGGAGGCGGTCTCAAACTTCTTGCTCATAGCGTTAATTCTATCTGCATCTTACTATCGACGGTGTTTACGTGGTTCCGCGTATACTCCCACGATGGATCGACGATGGATAGACGACGTTGACAATTATTTCTCGTTACAAAACGTTTTCAACTTTCGACTCGGGTCCCTGTTCTCGGTTATCCCGGCCGGTGTGCGGTCGTGGAAGAAGGTTTTTGCGCCGCGTCGGCCGTGAAAATAGCACGGGCTCTTCTCTCTCCCCCGGTTTTATATTATATTGTATATCGTTTCGGGGCGGTTTGGTGGAAGAGTTCTCGGGACGCGACGTAGAGAGATTTTCGAAGGATGCTCTTACCTGGAGGAACTGCCGATACTGCTTATACTGGCACCGTCAGCTGTTCTCCTTTGCTCCCTGGAGACGTCGCAGTCCGTGATATCGCATTCGGAAGTGTCAGAGTCGCTCAGCCGCGACGTCGTCGACGGTGGACTGAGATGGCAGTCCACCGGAGTTATCACCATGTCATCGGGCTCCTGATAGTATCTGTGCAACGCGAAATTTAGATCTCACGCTACGCTCTTCTCGCTAGCGCTAGGTGAAAAAGAATCAGCCGAACGGATTCGCTGAACGACGCGACGTCATTCGGAAAATACTTGCTCTTTTCGCTGCATCGTATTATTCAACGTCTTTTCATTCGTTTTTTTCTTTTTTCTTTTTCTTTATCATCTTTCCGTGGATTCTACGGGAATTAAACGTTGCCCGTATATACACCGCGATCGTACGTGATATAGAAAAGGGTTAACGCACGTGACCGTCGACGGATTCCTTCTCCCTCAGCCTAAATACTCGGGAAAAATAGCTGCACGCCTACAGAGGCCTAGCCCTTCTCACAAGCTTTCTAGAAGACTCGGTTTACTTTTTGTTTGCATTCAGCGACTAAGAAGCGCAAAGAGTATTCGTCAGTCACCAATCTCTAAGATATCTCTCCTAGTCTCTCATTGCAACAAGCGAACGAATGCGTTGTAGCGATTGCGTCTCATCTCAGAGGCATGAAGAAGTGAAACATCCTAAGGTCTACCGAGCTGATTCACATACCCAATATGTCGGTGTTCCCCGTGGCCGGTCAGCGGATGCCACTCGGGCTCCTCGTCGAGATGAGCTGTCGCCAGTTCCAGTATCGCTTCGCCGAGAAAATCGTTCGTGTCGTACTTCCCGTAGTCCCACACGGTTACTTCCAACGCCCTTTTCCTCAGCTCTGGCCTCCTGATTCCGTCGTAGATGAACGTCTGGTTCCACTTTGGATCGTTCGTGTTCGCCAACGTCTTCGTTCGTCTCTTCGACTTTTCGCTGCATCGGGACACGAATTAGATAGAAGGGTGAATGATAGAACACGTCCTTGATACGGTCGTGGAATCGACGCGCAAATGGGGCGATACCAGACGATCGATGTCGAGCATTAATAAGACAACGCCACTTCGAGGGAGGGAAACGAAACAGTGGTTGGGGAACCCTGGTGTAGCAGCGAGATCGTTTGGCAGCCCGGCCAAGTTCAACGGCTATCTTTTGGCTCGCGAACGCTTCTTTAGGAAATGATTTATCTCGAAAGCAGGACAGTTTCGACTTCGACATGATCGCACTGTTGTCCCCGACGTGCATAAACGTCCTCGCGAAATCTTTGCCCGGCGCCATCGAGCATCGTGCGCTCGATTCTTTTTGCATTCTACTCTACGAAAAGGATGGAAGTTTCCGCCGGTGATTTGAAACGCACGCTCGTGGCCCATAAAAATCTATACACCGTCCGTTTATCGACATTCAACGAGAAAAACGAAACACGTTCTCCGTCGAGAATCTCTCGGAGAAAACGAAGAAACTGGTTCCAGCGCCGGAACATAACGTTTTTTCTTATAAAATATCGCTCGTTCGTAACGTAGGATAGGAGGAATAGAATTGTTTAAGAAGAAACAAGTCGCTGCAAGACAAAATACAGCATACGTAGAGGCGTACTTAGTTTCTGGGCCAATCGAGCTCACTCACCTCTTGTCCGGAAGCAGGAAGATCTTGGCGTAGGGATTTCTGGGTTGGCCGTTGCTCCTGGGCGTGAGCCCAGCCGCACAGATCAACGTGACGATCAACCGTAGCGCCACGGAATCGAAGCTCAGCTTCACCTGAAGATTACCTCCGACGTTTGCATTGCCGGAAGTGTGTCGGAGGTGCCTGGCGCGTCCTTGAGCGTGAAGATCCGGCGAGCCCGGCGAGGTCACTAAAACCGAAGGTTTCTCGCGCCTCGCGTCGTATAACTCTGCAAGTGATTGTTCAGTGCCGACTAGACTTTAGATCTTCTTCGTACACCTGGTAGAACTTCGAACGGTGGAATTTGGGCTACGTGGTGTGTTTAAAGGGGTCTATTTATGTAATATACGATATATATATACATATATAAAACAGTGTAGGTATATATCGTATGTGATACGAGCATTTGCGAATGGCTAGAAAAAAGGGAAAAAAGAGGGAAGATGGCATCGTGTGCAGCTAGTTGGATGCTTCGTATCGCGGTGTACGAAAGGTGTACGCAAAATTCGCGAACGAACTCGTAAAACGTTGGGGCGAACGGGGACGTGGGTTCGACGATCTTTTACTAGGACACCGAATCTTGGAATACAGGCGGAGGTAGCCGGGGAATATTGAGTGACGTTCGAGTTTCGGGCAAATGCAAGAAATTCGAGGAACTTACGGCGAGATGTTCGATAAATTGTTATACTATGGAAAACGTTTTGCGACCACGAATTTGGATTATTCTTGGTTAGGGGAAACGGGTAGATTATACTGGGTTACAGAGATTCGACGGTAGTTCGTGCGTGCATACATCGTCTGGTGATCGCATCCTGTGAATTGGGAAATTTAATTCCGTGGAAATTCACAGATTACTCCGAGAGGTTACGTTTAGAATGGTTGCAACCGCGTTAACCATCGAATCACTGTAAGATTCGCCGAAAACCCGTAACTTCCCTTCCATCAGCAGGGTGTAATGCAATTTGCGGGCAGATACATCCATTCCTCGGGAGATATCACAATTCACGTGCAGGATACTCTCTCGAGCTGCCGATAGCGAAAATAACGCATCCTTGTGTAGATGCATCGAACGCAGCCGGCGGATTAGCGGTAGATGCAGTAAAATGGTTCGCGGATGCGTTTATACGCAGCCCCGCGATGCAGCATGGAAAGTGCATACACGTCGGCAGTGTTGCGTTCTCTTCCGTACGTTCTCTTCCTGAAGACGTCTAGCTATCGTCGGTTTATAAAATAACACTGCTTCACAATAACAATTATTCAAACAATCGTTTTTACATTACACAGACAAAGAATGATTAAAACGCATTAATTTAATAATCGTGTTATTCATCTCGGAAACACGATGATTGATATCGTCACACAAGCGAAACGTTAATAAACGCCTGCCTTTCCTTCTTCATTTCTATAAACCTTTTGCATCGTAAATCGCGAATCGTAAAACGGTGCAGCTTTACGAAGAGTCTATAAAATGGGTAAATCGTAGAATGGCGCATTATATACAGAAGGATTTAAATGTATGGTCCTTCGTGGTCAACGAGGGGTAGAGATACAAAAAAAAAAAAAAAGAAAAGAAAGACACAAAAGATTCACTTGTTTCAAGTTGTTGCTCCCATAAAACTATGTATCGTAAAAACGGCGGTGTTAGCAAGGGGTGCATTGGCACTACTCTCTACGTTCTACGATAACATCGATGGTATACAGAAAGCGATATAACAGTCGTAATGGTTCTCGTTAAGCATCGATCTCGATACCGGTGCACTCGATAATCGTTGCTTTTTTTGTTCTACTTTACGATGAGAATGGTAAAACCCTTTCGTTTCACCATTTCCCAGTGAATCTTCCTAAGATTACCGAATCAAGAAAGAAAGAAACAGAAAGATTCAAAGGGAGTGAAATACAGAACCACAAACACGGATGAGGGGGAAGACACCGATTATTTGGGATCGAGAAATTTAAGAAATTTTGAGGCCTACCCCATAGAATACATTTCTTAAGACCTGGAATACGAAAAATCATATAATCTGTGACAATATAGCGTCGTTTTTAATACGCTTAACTGTACTTATGTCTATGGTATGACTTAGGTAGGGACCCGATATTTTCTCGTATGCTCTCGTATCGATTGGTTTATCGACTTTTGCAAATTCTCTTAAAATTTCAACGATCTGGAGAAATACGGCAAATTGTATCTTGCTAAGTTAGCTCTAGAACTCTCTATACTACACAATATACTACTAAAAGTAGACTTGCTGAACGATCTACGTAACAAATCTACCACTTCTCCGACTTTATTAATATTCCAACATCGTAAAACTATACATCGTGTGCATCATTGATTCAATGGTAATGATCATCGTGGATAAATTGATATCTTTTATCGTTCAACAAGCACCTCGTACAATAACGGGAGACCGAGTACTCGTCGTGGAACGAGGTACAAGTTCTCTCTCTCAAACCACTACTCGTTCGCAAACTCCCATAACACATCCTAAGTGTGATCTATTGAGTAGCTGTCTGAGCTATTCCTTGATACACAGTCTACCTTCTCTACCTTGTCGTCTAAACGCGCGTTATGCTCCGGGGGCGTTTTAAATGCTATCATCATTTTTTTTTCTGCTTTTTAAAAACATCTGTCAGCGACCGTGTGTGTATACAGTATACTCTACGAGACATGTATATGTATTCGGGCCAGATAAGAAGGGAGGCAAAGAAGAAAAGAGAACGGCCTGAGAACAGATCCTGAGAGCGTGTGTCCAACGAGGTAGGAGGAAAGAAAAGAAACACAGTCGAAGAAGAAATAGACGAAGAAGAAGGAAGGGAACGAATGAAGCTTGAAGCACATAGTCACCTTTGTGATGCGGTTGCTGTGGCCCGGATATCGTCTCCGGGTGCTTTTGTCTCCATTGGATCTGCGCGGCGATCTTCCTTGACGGCATCGGCGCTGTAGGTGTCAGCCCCGCAGGCATCGTCACCGGACCCGTCGTCGACGATAGATTCCGCGAAACTACCAGCTCCACTTGAGGCTCCTGTCTCGACTCGGCGATGATGTCGTAAACTTCACGGAAGCTTTTGCCCTGGAGGGACCTGCCGTTCCACTTGATCACCTCGTCACCTGAAATCGTTGAATGTCCGGTCTGTTCTCCTATTGGATCGCCTCCGGGACC